CCCCAGCGTCCCCTTCTCCAAGCAACCCTGTACATTCTCTTCTGCGCTCAGCTCCTGCTCACGCTGGCCATCAGAACACAGTGGTCATGAAGCATGGAACCTGGCACCTGGAAAGAGTGACAAGGAGGGGCTGTGCTGTAGGTGAGTAGAGGGGCAGGGCAAGGCACCACTGAAGGAAGCTTCCTGGTTCCAGGAGTGGGTTGGGGGTGGGGGACGAGGAACCATCCAGGCTTTATCAGGCACACACATTTCCTACCAGGAGCTTTTGTGTATACAAGGAAGCCGCTGCTACATTCCCCTCTGTGCACTGGGCCTCAATTCCAGGACTGGTCCTAGATGGCCCACATCCACGGAGAAGCTTGACTTCACACTTGATGCCCAACACTGAAACCACGCAGGAAGCGCACTTTTCAAGCCCCCCCCAACCACTTCTAAGACAGCCTTTGTTATTTAGGTTCTTCCTCCTTCCCTTCACCCTCTGCTGTTTTTCTCTTCGCTTCTAGTGGAGCCAAAGGTAACAGAGGGACTGCCTTGCTGGTTTCCTACCAACATAAACAACCACCAACTTGGGGAAGTGCTGTCATCTGCTGCACACAGGACATGGAGCCAGCAGGGGGCGTGCAGCCGTCTATCATCCTTCCATTAGTTCCTCGCAGCCCTGGGCCATGAACACAGGCTATTGCTCAACATAAATGAACCAGACAGCCTTTGGGTCACAATCTCAGGGCTTGGAGTCAGCTGACCTGGACATGAGTCCCATCTTGAGTATCAGTTGGCAGTCAAACATTAGGCACACTACTTCATAAGGATTAAATAAGCTAACATACAGTGCTGGCACACAGGAAAGGTGTAAGAGGTACTGGCCATAACTGCTACTGGAACTAACACTGTCCACATGACAGTCGCAAGGCTGAGACGTCCTTACTGATGACAACAGCGTCACGTGGCGAGCCAGTGGGGTTTCAAGAAAGGCTGGTACGGAGTGTACAGCCATGCATCAGGGAGAGGGGCGAGGTTCCAGACTCTTGGGATTTGCCGTTAGGCAGCTAAGAACTCATGACACAGAAGACCAGGGTTCAAAGCGGCCTAGGAGGTAGCAATCCCCTTCAGCCTCTTTCTTAGGAAAAGTAGAATGACTTTACTTTAGCACCGAGCTTCAGAGTAAGCGAACTCCCCAGCACCGTGTCTGGCTCTTTTTCATTCTCACTCCCTCTCAGTTCTCCTACTAAGACTATTCTCTAAGATGTACTTCATTCCAATTACATGTATGCATGTGTGTCTGTGTGTAGGGATGTACGCATGAGCACAGGTGCCTGCAGACCCTGGTGAGCTACCTGATGTGGATGTTGTGAACTGAACTCATCTTTTGCAAGACCAGAAAGCGGTCTTCAGCTCCAAGCCATCTCCCCAGCCCCTCCTGGGGATAGTTCACCACCTCATGATTTATATTAACCTACATTGTTGCAAAGACACAGAAGAAACACAGGGCAAGTAGAGACGGAGCAAAGAGCTAGACACTCCAACTGCAACATTTAATTTGGTTAAGGTCTTAGAATTATTGGCCACTTTGCTAATTTCCTTATCAAATTAATGTGACTAATGTTTTCATGTTAAATTTTAAGTATTTCCAAATGTCTTTAAACATACCAGCTGAGTATTTTAAATGACCATAACTTTTCTATCGCAGAAAAAAAAGTCAATGAAATTAATGTCTCAGAAGTCACAGAAAGTCTCAAGAGCCAAAGAAATCATGCACATGTTTTGAATTTTTCAGCCTAATCTTGATCCTGAAGCAGCACTCAGGCCCGTCAGGGAACAGCACGGGGCAGGGCGTTTGCTTAGTGTATGGTAGGTGAGGTCATTGCAAAGGCTGGTGCTTCAGACTCTGTTAGATGCCTTAAATTACTTGCTTAATTCCCTTTCACTTCAAGGACCCAATTACCACTTTTCTCTTCCTGCACAGAGACTACACTTGGGCCCTCCTGTTTCCACTAAAAGTGAAGATGCACAATTTCAGCCTGCTACACATGTAGCCCAGGCTGGCCTGCAATTGATTATCAATTCAAGGATGAGTGCAACCCCCTGATCCTTCTGTGTCTACCTCCCAAATGCTGGGATTATAGGCATGGGCCACCATGTTCAGGTTATGTGGTGCTCGTCATAACCCAGGCTCCATGCACGCTAGGCAAGCACTCTGCCAACTGAGCCAGCCTCCATACATTCATCTGTGTACATTTAACTGTGGAATGAGTGTTCTAAAAAATAATGTGAGGCAGACTAGATAACAACATTATTATATAATAGCGTTAAGATTTTATTTGGTGAATCTGATATAAATGTCATACCCCGAGTCAGAAACATCAACATCAGGATACATTAGAAAGTATTTTCATTGCCTAAAACCGTTAGGCTCTTACTGTTGAGATGCTGTGGACAGAACCCAGGGTCCAGCACATTCATACTAAATAACCCTCTCTCACTGAGCTACATATCTAGCCTTCAAACTACACAACTGTTTTTTGTTTTGTTGTTTTGAGACATGGTTCCTCTGTGTAACAGTCCTGGCTGGACTGGAACTCACTCTGTAGACCAGGCTGGCCTCAAATCCACTGAGATCCACCTGGCTCTGTCTCCCAAGTGCTGGGATTAAAGGCGTGTGCCATCACCACCCAGCTGAAACTAGACATTTTTAAACTACAGATCAAGTAACCTTGTGTTTAAAAAGATTTTAGTTTTCATTATGTGTCTGTATTGAATGCACATGCAAGGCCTTGGAGGCCAGGAAGGGCATCGGATCTCTGGAAGCTGGACTTGAAGGAGGGTGGGTTCTCTGCAGGAGCAGTGCATGAAGACCAAGCAGCTTTCAACTGTGAGGAAAGACAGTTACTCTACACTGGCGTTTAGAAGCTTCTGACATACTCTATTTAGTTGGCCCTTAGAGTACTTACTTTCTTTTTTATTTAGTTTGGGACCTCAGTCTATGGGATGGTGTCATCCACATTCCCCTAACAGTGCAGTATGAAACTATTTAAAACAAGAAATGCATGACACAAAGAAACCTTGTCTCAAAAACGACCCCTCCCCCTCAAACATTAAAGTACAGAGGAGGGTGTGTGTAGGCTATAAGGGATTGAGCATCTGCAGCTTTGGGGACATTTCACCCACACTGAGGGACCATGATCAAGAAATCTGATGTGTTTTTGATTACGCAATTTCAAACATGAGCAATAGGCTACAGAGGGAGAGACCTCGTCAGGACGGAGCAGGCAGTTCAGGGTTGTTGTCGATGGTGCAGTTTACAGCAGTGAGGAGAGGGCACCTCAGGAGAGGATGTAGTCTGGCCCTCCTGCTTCCTAACTGTATAACTTAAGTCACCTGGCCTCAGTTTCCTCCTCTGCAAAGCGAGGAAAACAAAACCTGTCTACAGGGGCACTATGGGGACAGAATCAATGGCAAAGTACTCGGGAACAAACACAAGAGGCAGAAAGGAGATGGTCAGGCCGGCCTCCAGGAAGAACAAGACTGAGGTCTTCCGCTGTCATCACAAAGCCCCCACCTGCGTGGATGAGTCCAGACAGCCTCTAGCCGCCGGAGAAGAGCAGACCATGCAGCTGCAGCCTTGCTCTAGCCAGATGCCTCTTCAGTTTCTGCTACCCACTTCACTTCACTGTCTCCTAACTCTGCAGCAGCCCTATTCCCTGCCAGTCCTCAGGAGGGCAGATATATCAGAGGGTCCTACATGAACTCCTGGAACTTTGATAACATCTGGTGCACTGCCTCTGCCTTGGGCATCTCTGCCCCCAGCCAAGCAGAAGCTCAGAGGGTCACCTCTGATGCTAATCAGCATAGTATTCATGTAGGACAAACTGTGTGTGCTCACCTGTCTGTCTGTCTGTCTGTCTATCTGTCTGTCTGTCTGTCATCTATCTGCCTGCCTGCCTCCCTCCCTCCCTCCCTCTGTGTTTCAGACACGGTCTTATGATGGAGCCCTGGCTGTGCTAGAACTTACTATGTAGACCAGGCTGATCTCAAATTCACTGAGATCTGTCTGCCACCATGCCCGGCTTATGACTTTTTCTATTGATAACGGATGACAGCAAGACCCACAGGGAACCCAGGAACCGCATTTTCAGCACGGTCCCCAAAGAGGTCACTGTCGGGAGATAGAGCATGAAAAGGAGTTGGTGAGGATCCCAAACACTAACTCATGATTGCTTCGACTGCTGCCTGGGGCTCACCCACACACAGATGTAACCCTCACACTCTCAGCCAAGGAGTGGGCGTGAACAAAGGGTACAGGCTTATGGGGTTGGGGAAGAAGGGAGGCGCGCATATGCATGGGATGATGCGTACAAGATGGAGTGGGTGGGGAAGGAAAAGAAGCAAATGACAAACAGACTCCAGATGCCTGCGTTTCTGGTATTTACAACACGATAAGGCACGGCAGTCCACAGTAGCCATCAGAGCACCAACATTACTTCTGGAGATAATGTTTTTGTTGTTTTGTTTTTTTTTTTTTTCGGGGGGGAAAATCGCACAAACTTAGAAATGCTAGATAATATGATGGTAGACTGTTTAGGCTTTAGTGTTTTAGAAAGAACCTTTAGCCCAGAGAAATTAACTACATGACTGAAGAAGTTACTAATCCATTGTCGTCTTTTATCTAAATGTGTTCAACTACTTTATACCATAGCAGTCACACAAGAATGCTCAGTAATGTTACCTGTTGTTAAATTTTATGAGACATAAGCCTGGTGAGGGCCTGCCCTCCAGCCTAGGTACTACCTGGAGCTTGTAGTCCAAGCAGCAGTGAAGCTCGAGCTATCTGCCAACAGTATCCTTCCTTCTCCCTGGGTGAGGAACGGCTGTCTGGCTGCCTTTACACAGGTCATTACACAGATGTAAGGGAAAGGGGGTCCATAAAGGATAGACCACAGGGTGAAGAAACGAGCAGACATAGAAGCACTTCCCACTAGCCACAAACCTCTGGGCACACTCACCGAGTCCGGGTCTCTCTGCTGTTCAAGGAAAGCTGAAAATTCCACCAGGCGAAGCTTGGTTGTGCCGATGGAACGGCCCTGCCAGGCAGGAACCGAGGGAGCTGGGGCTGACGCAGGCTCAAACCCTGAAATAACAATGGTCACCTTTACACAAGTCCACATGTGCCTCATCCTAGACCTCAGAGGGGCATAATTCTGAACACAGAGGGCCTAGAAGGAAAGGACGACTACCCCCACTAGGGGCACCCAGGCAGTGGGACAGCTGAGCAGACTGAGTGAGGCTCATCATGAAGACAGTTTCAGCGAAGGTTAAGGAACCGTGGCAGGAGGACAACACCGGGATGGTTGATAATGCTTAATGTCCATTGTCAGGCTTGACTGAATTTAGAGTCACTTTGGTAAAATATCCATGAGGTTTAACTTAAGGAAAGCGTCGCCCAGAAGGTGCATTAACACCATCTCATGGCCAGAGTCCTGAACAACGTAAAAAAGAGACAGAGTCGAGCACTCGCACTCCTCTCTCTGCTTCCTGACTGTGGATGGAAAGTGACAGCTGCCTCACACTCCTCTCACCCTGACTTCACCGCCACGATGGACTACACTACACCCCCAAACTGTGAACGCAAACCAAACTTTCCTCTCTGCAGCTGCTTGTACTGAAATTTTGTCAGAGCAACCAATATAGGCAGGTAGTCCTGGGCAAAGAAGGCAGGCTGGAGAGCAAGGGAAGGGTGGCAGAAGCATCTAGGGAAATGCTCGCCAAGGCATCCTGTGAAGTCAGGACCCATAGAGCACTGTTTCTATTGGCTCACCTTCCATCTCTAGACTGTGACCATTCCCTCAGGATGCTCCACAGAAGCAGAGGGCAACAAGGGATTGCAATTTTATTTGGGACACTAAATAAGTAAATCAAGGATTATACAATACCACAAGAATTTCAGCTGAGTGACACTATGTATGTTTGGGTAAGAGAGTTCATGGTAAGGCGAGCCAGATGATCCAGCCAGGCCCACAGTTTCTGTTCTGAGCTTCCATGGAAGCCCTCCACTGCAGGAGGAAACCAACCAGGAACTGAAATCCACTATCGAAGAAAGCTGAAGTTATCTGTGCCTGACTCAGATTGCAGGACTTGGCAGCTGCTGAAGACGGCAACCACAACAACTTCCCCTTCTAAGTGGAACCCAGCATCTTAGGTGAAAGTGGCCAGGCTTCCTGTTTCCTGACAACCCCACAGGAAGAGCGCTTGGGAGAAATGGCTGGTTTAGATTTTATTCTTATTCAGTAACTTCTATCATTTTAAATGCTTTTCCTGCATATACGTATGTGTATCATACGTGTGCCTGGTGCCCAAAGGTCAGAAAAGGGGATTTTATCCCCTGGAACTGGATTAACAAACGGTTATAAGATGTGTGGGTGCTGGAAAATGGACCCGGGTCCTCTGCAATGGCAATCAGTGCTCTTAAGCACTGAGCCATGTCTCCAGACCCCAGGAGAAGGAGCTCTTCAGTGAAGGGACCCAGCGTCTAACGGGAGATGCCTGGGACTTTTCTCAGCTTCAAGATAGGGCTTACCCTTAGGAGGGAAAAGAAGAGGGGCGGCTGGCGGCTAAGAACAGCATCACTGCACTCTTGGGACAAAAGAGGCCAGGCTGCCCCCTCGCTCCCCATTGAAGAAGAAACTAGAAGACTCACCTGGAATGGGGGCTGTGACTGCTGGCTGGATGGGGTAGGCCTGCTGCACAAAGGGCTTGACGCTGGGGACAAAGGGTTAGAAAGAGTCAAAATCGTGGGTGCAGTGGCTTTGGCGTTCAGTAGGACTCCCCCATGACCCACCACACTGCCTGCCTCCCTGCCTGCACTGGGTTGCCCATTTCATGCTGAACTATATCTACAAAAAGGAAGTTTCTCCCTCCAAAGGAAAGGCGGTCAGCAGGCTGCGGAGGCTGACCACTCACAACGACTTGGTGGGATAAGCGGGACAGGGTTCAGCTCGACTTCCCCATGGTGGAGCAGGTCAGGCAAGGTTTAGGATGCCTTGAGTCAGGAGCTCCCTTCTTTAGACCACACAGCTCAGTATATGCAAAGAAATTTTCCTTTCTGCTTTATCCCCAAACTGCCCTTGACTCTTGTGGGCTGAACTCGCTCCCTAAATTCAAGAGGTCTCTGGGATTTTCTATCAGGCACTCCCACCGCAGGGACTGCCACAATGGAAAGCCAATGTCTCTGCTGACCTCTAGGAGGTGAGGAAGTCCCTGGTGCTACAGCCAAAGCCATGAAGAATAAGGGACCTAATTCAAGTTTCTGGCTGTGTCACTGCTAATATTGAAGGTGGGACAAATGAATTTACATCTGTGCTAACTCTGAAAGGCGGGTCCTCTGCCAAGTCCTAGAACATGGGGACATAAGGACTGGCAGATCCAGGGACTTCCATTTGATGATCTCCTCCCCCATGCCCTAAGAAAGCCTGGTGCAGAAGAAATCCCCCAGGGTGGGCTATCTCCCCCGGCTCTCTGGGCCCTTCCCAGACTTACTCTTGTGAGGATCCTGGCTGTCCTGTCTGTATCATTCCAGGCCAGAACTGGAAGGTAAGAGGCAAAGGCTTCAGGGTTATAAGTTCTCATTAAAGAACAGTTTGTGATGTGTGCAAAATCTTAAGTCCCTCCTGAAGAACACCAGAGTGTTCCCACCCGCCAGCTGTGTTATCATCTTTCTGGAGTCAGTGGTGTTTTCAAGACCATAGCTTACCCCTAACCTGGTAATGGGGTGGGTGGGGGGGCCCTTTGCCACTGTGTCCTGACAGCTCTCCTAAGGCCAAGAGGCAATATGGAAGCACTTCAGTTTATTCTGCACAGACTGGCACTCCTCTACTCCAAGCGCTTCCTGTACACCCCACAGTATGTAGTTCTCCAGGTCCAATGGAGCAACACACGGACTTTGAAATAATGAAGCCAGAGCTTGGAGAAGCAACTAGGGCCCTCATTTTTGCAGTGAGCATACCTAAAGCCTTTGGGGCCTGCTAGTCCCCATTGAGAGAGAAGGGCAGAATCCTGCCAGTATTACTTATATGATCAACTAAGACACCTCTACTGGAGTCTCATTACTGAGTAACCCCAGCTTTGGCATCTACAGAATGGCCATGACACTGAGACTTCTGAAGAAGGCCCTGGGGTGAAACAAGATGCAACAGACAGCTTCTCGGCCTTCAGGAACTGCACTGTGGTTGCTATAAAGTGACCCTAAGGATACAGGGATGGAGACCAAGAAGCAGGAAAGAGTGAAAGAGGCAGGCCACTACTAAATGGAACACCAAAACCAAAACATTTATCTCTTCCTATTTTATTCTTCTTATTTCCATTTTTCTTCTCTTTTCTTTCTAGCCTCATCTCTCTCACCTTCCTTGTCTAACATATCTAGGAATCCATCCATCATCTATCAATCATCCATCTATCTATCCATCCACTTAACATCTACATACCACCCATCCACCCATCTACCTATCATCCATCTATCAACTGTCTTTTAATCTATTCAACTATCTGTCTGTCTGTCTATCCATTTGTACATCTACCATCTGTTATTTTATTTTGTGATATTGTGGATTGTCCTAAGGGCTTAATATATGAGCAAGTGCTCTACCACTGAGCCACATCCTCACTGAGTCCCTTTTAGTTCTAGTTTTAGATATGACCTCATCAAGTTGACCAGGCTGGCCTTGAATTTACTACGTAGACCAAACAGGCTTTCAAATTTATGATACTCCTAAATCAGACTCATGATTTAGTATTTAGTAGCTATACTATCATACCCAATAGACCACCATTCCTGGATTCGGTTCCTAACTTACCCCCGGTGCCCCCGGGAAGGTGGGGCGTGGAATCCCAGGCAGCCCCAGCTTGTTGTGGATAGCAGTAGCAGAAACGATCTGGGCTGATGACATGGCAGCCATGTGCTGCAAGGCCTTGTCCTTAGCAGTCTGATCCTTGAAGATGACAGTGACACACGGACTTAATACAGAACATGTGACTACCATGTGGGTTACACAGTACAGCCACGAGCACAAAGACTACAATACAGAGCCACACGGGGGCCGGGAAAGCACACATGCACAGAGAGAAATCAACACAGCCAGGAGGCTGACTCTGACTTATGGAACTGGGACTACTAGCAAGCAATACCTAGTGGCAAGGTTGGGTTTTAAACCCTTAATCTATTTTCCAATAGACAGGAAGACAAACAATGTATCCATTGTTTCGATTTCCAGAAGAATTCTCAACGACTTATCACACTAGGGGTGAGGGTGACCCTGCTTTCAAGTGAGAGGTAAGAAGCACGGTGATCAGCAGAGGTAGGGCCATCTACTGAAAGTAAGGAGCGCTACTTGGGTGCCTGCTGTCACTGGGCCAAGCGCCATCTACAGAATGTAAGGAGCGCTACCTGGGTGCCTGCTGTCACTGGGTCATGGTGCCAGGCCCTGCTGGTATCATTCGAGGCCCAGGAACCCTAGAAGGCATCTATGGAGGGGAGGCTCAGAAGCAGCAGACGGGCGGGGGGCAGCCAAGCAGCATGCTGTCGGGGCACATGCTATGGGGCTAAGGCTACAGTGGTTCCTTTACCAAAGCTCAGAGTGTAGGTGATGCTACAGTCGTTCCTCTCCTAAATGGAGTCTTTTCTACAAAGCCAAGACTGGTAACACAAAGCTAGCCAAAATAAAAAGTCTGCCAAGCACAGCTAAAATACAGATACTCAGTTTAGAGGATATACTTACCATGCTTGTTACCTGGATACAATAATAAACAGTTTGTTAAAAGAATCACGTACAAAGGCAGGGTTACTTTTCTTCTTTAGTTAAAAAAATAATATGTATAAACACAACATCTGGGTGCTATAAAAATGTAAAGTGGGCATTTTCTATACTTTAGGGAAGTACCACAAAGATGGCTGTCCAACAGCTACCATTGGCAGAACAGCCCCCACCCCCCAATTCTCTGACTATGTGTTATGTGGTATCCCCATTATAAACAGAACAATGGTCAGGCCTTGCATGTGGCAAGCCCCATGGGTGCATGCAAGGCTTGAGGGGTGTGCGGGTCTGTACTCAGAGCCCAGAGGCCACTGAATCAGGAACAGAATAGTGGTACCAACAGCCTTCTACAAAGCTTCCTCTCGGAGGGTACAGTGAGGGACAGTGACTGAGACAACACCACGTGTCAGTCTCCTGGCAGCTTCCAAGTGTACAGTTAACCAAAGGTGAGGGGTAAACAGGACAAGCCGCCAAAGGGAAGATTAAGAGGAGCTTGAGAAAGAATCAGACTCGAAAACAATTCTGGAAGCTTCTAAAAAGGATGCATTTGATTCTCCAAACTGTGGACAGCACTTTGCGCCAGCACACCTGGACATCTTGAGAAGTTTTCTAACAGCTCATTATCAAGAGACGGGTTCGCAAAGGATAAAACTATCCTATGTTTGAAACTAAGTGGAAGAATAAGAAAGGAGAACAGGAGGAGCTAAGGATGCCATTTTTACATTTTTGTACTTTATACTCAAGAGCTAGTGAGCCCTGAGCCAGCTCTCCAGGCTGCATTGGCACACTGAGGACACCTGCCATGCCACGGCACTTTCTGTATCGAGGGCACAGTGAAGGCTGGGACACTTGCTTGACTGCTGGTCCCTGCTAGAATGGTCTAGTGTGACTAGGAAAGATGCTTAGGAGCTCTTCATTGGCTAGCCAGTCAAACCTCTAATCCGAAGCCTGTCTAACCTGAAGTTGATGCAAATAGAATTTAGGGCTATATATAAGTGTGTGTGTGTGTGTGTGTGTGTGTGTGTGTGTGTGTGTGTGTGTGTAAATACAATTTTATGATAGACTGGGAGCATTTATGTGTCCTAAAGCACAGCTGAGCCCAACAAGCACAGATGTCAATGCCAGTCAATCTACTTTGAAAGCCCCATGGCTTCACCTGGCTCCACCCCTCCCCTCAGAAAGGATCTATGGGCAGTAAGAATGGCTCTACTCACAGTAAAGAACACCAAGACATACTTGCTAGATTTTTTTTGGGCCCATCCCTGGTGAGGTTATAAAAAACTCTCTGGGCAATTTGCTGAGGTAATGGCAGAGGAATGGCCATAGGTGTCTTCCCTATGCTTCACAACTTCTTTGGAGCCCAGACCTGATGCTTTAAAAAAGGGAGGCCCAGACTTTTTGCTGCTCAGCTGGAGTGAATTCTGAAGAACAGAACCACTCCAGGACCTGGCTCTGCTCCATGAGAAAGTCCTCAGCCTCTCAGAGACCTGTGAATTCTGTGTCTATGAGATACTGATGGGAGGGGTGTGTCTGCCTGGTCTAGTGTGGAATAGGATTGGTGCATTTTAGGGGGCAGCCTGTGAAACCAAAGCCCAGGTCCAAAGAGAAACCAGTTCCTTGAATCTCCACGACCTACTGGCTATGAGGCCCTGTGATGTAGGAGGTTCTTCTGACTATGTGTTGCTTTTATGGGTTAATGAATAAAGAAACTGGCTTGGCCTGATAGGGTTGAATAGAGCTAGGTGGGGAAAACTAAACTGAATGCTGGGAGAAAGAGGGCAGAGTAGAGAGAAGCCATGTAGCCCCACTGGAGCTGGATGGAACTTTACCCGGTAAGCCACAACCACGTGGCAATACACAGATTACTAGAAATGGGTTAAATTAATATGTAAGAGTTAGCCAATAATAACCTAGAGCTAATGGACCAAGCAGTGGTTTAAATAATATAGTCTCTGTGTGATTATTTCGGGGCTGAGCAGTCGGTAACCAACAAGCGGCTTCCTTACAACAGACCTGTTTGAAACATTTCTCTTTGCTAGGTATGTTCAAAAGTTCTTCAAACACCCATGAAGGCTTGATAGTATCCTTAAACAAAATCTTTTTAACACTTATTAAGAATGTATGTGCTGCCATGTGGAGGCCAGAGGGCAGTTCTCTCCTTCCACCCTGTGAGGCCCTGGGATTGAACTCAGATCATCAGGCTTGGCACAAGTGCTTTAGCTGCTGAGCCATCTCACCAGCCACATTCTCCTTCTTTTGAAACAAAGATTAGTCAGCATGAAGGGAGAAAAGAAACTATCTTTGTTGATTACCACCACAGCTTCAGAACAAGATGTGACTCATCTACTTAACGACACTGGCCATTCTGGCAGATACATTAATAAAAACAAATACAGGAGAGCAGAGGCATTGTCTCTGTGATGTCTGGAGTACCCAGAGCTTTCCTGGAGTGAACTATACCTGTTAGGGATTCAACAGGTTTCCTGGCTTCCTGTCCTACCCAGGGCAAGTCAAGTCAGGCCCTTCACTTTCCTCACTTAGGAAGAACTGTACCTGAATTTCTTACACCCTCCTGGCTCCATTATAAATGCAGACATTTGTAGCTATGAGGGTGGCTGGTGAATTCCATTATAACCAGCATATCATAATCCATAAGGCCAGTGAACTAATGAGCAGAAGCAACCAAGTAGTTTGTTCAGATCTGGGCACCTCTTAGCTGCCTGTCATGACAGAAAGCCAAGCGTGGGGCGGAAATGTTATCTCCACTAGTGGCTCCTACACTTGACCCACCTGCCTGAGAACAGGCAATTTTCTGTAAATGGACTGAAATGTCTACACTTGTGACTTCCTGCCATTTTCAGCAGAAATACTCTTATTCATTAGATCTCATAGCAGTGGTCTTTCATCACAATATACATGGAAAAATTAAAAGGGTTGTGGTGTGTGTGTGTGTGTGCGTGCGCGTGCGTGCATGTGTGTGTGTTGGGGGGGGGAGTCTATAATCTAAAGCAACCCTGGAGATGGATAATAAGTACTGGCAGGGCCACATGAAAATCAGGATAAGAGCCTGGCTGCAGACCCTCTTACCCTGATGGGAGTTCAGAAAGACAATCTCTCAGCTGTCATTTGCAGCATAGAGACATGCGCCTGGTTTTAGAAAAATTATCACCCCCAAGTGTCAAACCTGGGTAAATTGCTTGCCTGTGTCACTATGGGATAATATCCTGGTCTTTATCTGTTGGCTCTGCTCACCCTCACACAAAAGAAGAGGGGCTGATGGACCACGCAAGTCTCAGTGCTGCGTGTAAGAAATGTGAGCTATGTTCACACACCAAATTAATTTCACTCTAAGATGTATTTGCACCTCTCAATGTTTCCAAGAAGAGGATGAGATTTACAAAGGATGAACGTACTGTTTTATCTTGAAACACTGCAGTAAGTCAATATTGAGTTATGCTCTGCCCATCTTAGACCCCAGGAAACACTGAGTATGTGTATGTGTACACAGGAGAAGAGAAACAGTCAGGGGGAGGGAGTGGGGAAAGGGGACAAGTTCACACTCCCTGTTTCTCTTGAGCCCATGGCCCACTGAACTGTCAGAGAGGAGCAAATATGGGCCAAAGATGCTGGAAAAGTCTGGGCTAGAGGTAAGAGCCTCATTATCTACCCTCCCTTCCTGGCCATTTAATTTATGCCGTCCACCCTCAAGGGCCCCATCACCCCTGCCCCATCTGCACAGTCCAGCAGGCTCCTCAGCCTGAAACTTCACAAACTGTTAGTACACAGGCTTTCATATTCTTGAAGACAAGCTCTGATCTGCTGGCTGCCTCCCCTCTGTGATCAGAATGGATGAGGTGTTAGGGAAATACCTGTATGTAATATAATGGATAGGCAGCAATGTGAATGAATGCACATGGCTGAAGAGGGCGTTCTTCAAGTCCAGGACATTGTATCAACCAGACTCTAGCTATCATATGAACCTTTCCCTCCTTTCTCATTGTTTTCCCAGCACACAGTTAGCTTGCAAAAACAATCTCATTGTCTCTAGACATTTTCCAGAGAAAAACTTTGAGGATAATAAATATGTGTGTGCCTATTTGCAGTGTATCTCAGCTGCCATTCATTAATGAACAGCATGCTATATACAGTATATATAACCTGTGACGTTCTCATAGAGAATATACAGAATATATATACAAATGATACAACACACCAGTTTATTCATGAGCTATGTCATCTAGGAATTTAGATCCCAATCTGATTTATCCATACGGAAAATACATATGAAGTCATAGAGATCAAGAGCAAAAAGCTCTCATAAGCTATTACATAATTTCCTGCAAACATGCTTTCCCCAGCAAATAAAATTATAACACAGGGGAGAGAAAACAGCAATTTGCTTGGGGGGAAAAATTCTTTCTACCAGAAAGACAAAACATGAAACAGCTCCCCAAGAATTACTTTTGCAGATGTGTCTACTCAAGCATAGGGTGGATACATGTGACCTCTGCAATAATTAACCGTGACCCCTGAGCAGACAAGCCTCACAAAAACATAAGGTGATCTGGGCAAAGGATGGGGCACTTGAATGCTTTCTAGCGACGATCTCTAATTTGCCTATCATTGCAGAAGGCGGGAGCAAACACAAAAGGGGCGATTCTGGTCAGGCCACAGCTACTGAGGAGGAGGGAAGCCACATTCAGCGCTGGTCTGACTTGCTGCCTAATGAGTAGCAATTAATTCATCGCATTGTATTCTGAAATGCCGAAGACTCCATTCACATCAAAGAAAAAATTTTTCAAGGCTTTTACACATTGTTCATTTTCAAATGTACAGAGCTATGTTTAGCTCCGTGTCATTGTCCACAGCGGTTCTTTTCTTCTGATGTAGGCCCCTGGCTTCACAAAGAACCGCAGATGAGGAGCTGGGTAGGTGAGCCTTGAGACTGTCCTAAGAATCGAGGATGTGGGCCAGCT